GTTGTGGCCTCAAACCTCAACCCTTAAGTGATTTATTTTAATCAACTAATACTTTGCAAGTATGTCCTCAACAACTCTCCTTGTAAAATGTACTTAGAATTTATGAGGGGGAAAATAGTGTTTTTTTTTCAAGTCAATGTCACTCGAATTTTTTTCTGTGATGAAACCCAGCAGAGAGCAGCATGGTTGCTCACGAGCATGAACCAGCATATCGTTGCTGTCCTGTTTTTTTTTTTTTTGCTGGGATGTACGAAACACGAATACCCCTTGTTTCATAATATTGCTTTATTTCTTCACAATTCAGCATGACAGGGTTTGGGATATAGCACAGACATATTGACGTCACAAAACGTGGGGTAAAATAAACAGAGAGGAAGTTGGTTCTGTTGGGGGAAAGTGGCCTTCTTTCCTCCGCGTGTTCGTTTAATTTCGGATGGTGAGGATGTTGGCTATGCAAATACAGGCTGGAGACGATGAACAGTGCCTTCGAAGGTTTTATATGCAGAATATTACGGGCACAAATGAATTAGACTATCACTGTCAATCACAAGTGCGCACACACAAGGGATTCACAACATATTTATAATATCATCAGAAAGGACAGTACCGAAACTTATGGTGCGGCATCGGGAATTTTGTTTCTCCAAAACTGATTCTTAGCTTGTATCAACTGCCGCATTCCGATGTCCTGTGCATCTCCACAAAGTCTCCAGTAAGCAGTGTATCAAGGCTAACAGATTGCTTCAAGGACATGCCTGGTTTTACTGCGGGCATGAGAAAGTTATACAGGCTAGACTAAATATGGGCAGAAAACACACTTGAGTGCTTAACTGTATTTCTTTGAAAGTACTGGCGAACGAGTGATTGCATTTCATGAACGGTGCATGATGGAAGCTGTGAGCTTTTTGTTTATGAGGTGAGAAACACCAAACCAAGGGCATGCAATAGGACTTTGAGAACACTTAGTAAATTATAAAATATTAATGAACAACAAATTCTGCCATTGATACATATTTGGAGTCAGGGAGATTTTAATGTGACTTATACAATAATAAATTACAATTTGCGCATATTTTATGTAATTATATTGCCAATGTTTCATTGAACCTGAAAATTTGCTTTGGGGACATTGTAAAGGAGGAACATATGATCCCCAAAAAAGGTAATTAAAAGTCAATTAAAATATATTTTACACCCATTATTTCGTGTTCATTCTGTCAAGAAAACCTCAATCTTTTCTAAAATCCTATTCAGTGGTCTTTCTTGCGTAAATATGTGAAAACACACAAGGAATTTGTCTTCAGACACAATGCACCAAAAACATGAAAAATAATGAGCAAGTGTGCTGTGATGGGGTTTCCAACTCAAACACAGCGAAGAGCAGCTGCCTTTAACAACGCGAGCATCTCAGTATGACATCACAGGAAAAGTACGATGTATGGGAGAGCCAATAAAAGACAGTGATAACAGGATTGTGTGTGCGATGTATAATCATGGATGTGTACGTGAGTAAGTCTGTACCAAATGTCACCAGCTGGCACGCCAAAACATATCGTCTCGTTGCCATGGAGACAGCCTTGGCTGGTCGAATCGGGAAACACGAAGCACAGGAGAATGAGGGGGGAAAGGGATAAGCGTCCGGTAGCATCACATCAATGAGAAAGTCCAGGTGAGGATTGTTTTGAGAACACGCCGACAATAATTTTGGTCAGCTACTCTTTACTGAGACTCCCGGGGTGCACCAATTCGCCGGATTCGCAATAAATACTTCAAGAGGGCTCGCCAACATCTCCACATTTTTTCACACCTTGCGCAATGTTTCAAGAGTCGCAATTGACTTAACTTGTTGCCTGAGTCCGAGTATTGATTGCTTGTACCGTCCAAAAAGACCTGCAGCTTGTTCACTTCTGAAATTTGTGATAAATTGGGAAATTGTGGGACACCTGTTGTCATCATTCCAATAGCGTAGATGTCTTCAACGTCTTCAATGGACAGAATAGAGAGGCACACCATTTTCGATTTCTTCAAGGAATCCAGGGTGAACCCAACTGCAAATGTACCTTGGGGACAGGAACGTTCCCTTCTTCCAGTTCTCCTCATCAAGAAAATGTCAACCAGCTGACCAATTTCATGGTTAGATCTTGGGAAGAAACAAGGCGGAAAACTGGAGGTGATAGATACCAGAATACAGAAGACAAAGACCAAGTCAAGTAGATGGGAAAAAAAAAGGGAGAGCAGCAGAGCAGGAAGCGACCATATTCGTTTGGAGCCAGGGCAGAACATTCATCAGACTGTAGACGTTTGATGGCTTTTATATAAAATATTAACATTTATATTTTGGGGACAGGGCAGCCCAGCGGTCCAGTGGTTAGCGCATCGACCTCACAGTGCAGAGGTACCGGGTTCGATTCCAGCTCTGGCCTCCCTGTGTGGAGTTTGTGTGGGTGCCTGCGTGGGTTTTCTCCAGGGATTCCTCCCACATTCCAAAAACATTCGTGGTAGGTCAATGGAGCACTCTAAATTGTCCCGAGGTGTGAGTGTGAGCGCGGATCGTTGTTCGTCTCTGTGTGCCCTGCGATTGGCTGGCAACCGGTTCAGGGTGTCCCCCGCCTATTGCCTTAAGACAGCTGGGATAGGCTCCAGCACCCCCCGCGACCCTAGTGAGGATAAAGCGGTTCGCAAAATGAATGAATGGACTTTCATGTCCATATTAATAATGTCAATAACCTCTACGCCAGCGGTTTTCAAACACTGTGAGATATTGTCATGTGTTCCGTGCTGATGAGCTGATTGTTTGAATCAGTTGTGTTGGAGTAAGGAGGGACCTAAAACAGGCAGGATATGGCTCTCGAGGAACTGGAGTTCCCTACCCCTGCTCTAAATTGTCCCTAGGTGTGAGTGTCAGCGTGGATGGTTGTTCGTCTCTGTGTGCCCTGCGATTGGCTGGCAACCGGTTCAGGGTATCAGGGTGTCCCCCGCCCCTACTGCCCGAAGACAGCTGCCCTGCGACCCTTGTGAGGATAAAGCGGATCAGAAAATGGATGGGTGGATTTTGGGGACACCAATATGACATGAACCAAATGCAATCCCAGCGTGCTGAGACCGGTGTCTCAGCATGCAAGAGACACTTGGGCTTTAGGTATCGGGCTTAAAACCAGGATATATGGAATATTTCTCAACTTGTGCCAATCAATTCAGGGTCGTGATACCCCTGACGTTGACAAACTCTAACACTGTTAGAATATATATGCATAGATCAGAGATGAAAGTGGACTTTTCTGAAAATTCTGGAAAAAATTAGTAAGTAAGCAAGTAAGTAAATAAATAAATAAATAAATAAATAAATACACACGCACGCACACACACACACACACACACACACACACGCACGGCACGCACACACACGCACTTGGCCGATCACGCATGAATTAGTTTACACAAAACGCTATTCAAATACTCGACATTCAATGATTAATCTGCATTTTGTGTGCACACGTGCACCCTTTGTGGTTTCCGTTCTTGCCGAAATTTCGAAATCTCCGAGATATGGCGAGGCCTTGAGAATGCGAAGGGAGTGGTGTTACTGTTACTAGCGTTAGTGCTTCAACATGGCTATGCTCGTGAAAACAAAACAACGAACTCAAACGCTTGTTCATTCAATGTTGTCAACTAATATCTGAATTAATTTTAGGCAATTTTTCCTCAATTTTCCAGAGGAATTTTCATGAACCCCACGTTCTAGTTGAGATGGTATAACCCAAGAGGCAAAATGACGCTTGCTACTGTTGTTGCGAGTTGCCATTCGTTCTACTAAACCATTAGTCAAACGCCATCATGTCTTGTGTCGTTATTACACAAACAAAAATCTCTTTACTGTTACTAGTGTTAGTACCTCAATATGGCTACGCTCGTGAAAGCAATACAACGAACTGAAACGCGTCTTCGTTCAATGTTGTCAACTAAAATCCGGGTTAATTTTATGCAAATTTTCCTCAATTCTCCGGAGAAATTTTCATAAAAATTTGAAAAACCCGGAATTCCGGGAAAATCCGGAGGACTTTCATCTCTGATAGATGATCCCATATTTACTCTGATTGAATTCACAAAATATTTGTTCAGGAGTGTGACCTTGCAAAAACCTCATTGGGATAAGTTTACTTTGCGTGGTTTGTTGGTTTGGGAGAAACCAGTAGTTTCCTGTTCTCAGCCTGAAAGTTAACACCCTCTAAAGGTGTTAACAGCCTTTCGTGAAGATAACATCAATCCCAGGACGTCGCATCTGTGGTACGTCAACAGCTGCGATCACGGGCCACCGACCTCCGGCGTGACCCCTCTCATCACCTCAGGAATGCATTGGGAATTATGATTTAATGCCCCACTTGGAGAATTCATTGTTGTTCTGAACACTCCCCACACCCCTTTCGAAGATCGTGTGTCAGGGACATCTTTCATAAACTCAACTCAGCTTTATATATAGAGCACTTTAAAACAACCACTACTGTATACAAAGTGCTGTACATGGAGCAAATATCATTTATGCAACAATAAACAAAGCAATAAATTAATTATGAAGACAGTAGAAAGCACAAAAAGAGTAAAGCTAAAATCAAGTGAGTCATGCTGAGTCAAAAGCCAAAGAATACAAATGAGTTTTGAGACGAGTTTAAAAGATGGGCAGCAAGGGGACTTGCCGAATGTTCAGTTGGAGGGACCAGCAACGGAAAAGGCTTGATCCCCTCGGAGCATCCGCTTAGTTCTTGGTACCTCTAATAATGTGTGGTCCGCAAACATGTGGCACCGGGCAGGTGCGTGGGGGCGGTGAAGTAAGGTGCATTACAGTAATTGAGCCGTGATAAAAGAAAGGAGAATGGCATGTTTTTTTAGAGCTGTCCAGGGACTGTAACGGTTTACACATCTTGGTTAGCTGCAGAGCTGTTTCGAGATTGTGAACTGAGACATGTCTCAGTGCGCACTCCTCGCAAGAAAGACAATTCTGCTCGCCTCTTAGTCTCTCTGATGTTTTTTAAAGTTGGTCTTCAGGCTCTGATTAAATCTTCGACCTGACAAACACCCAAGTCTGAAAAGGAATTCATTTCCCAAAATGTTTTGCCCCACATTTCATTCTTTGACCGTGAAGAATAGAACATGTTTAATTCACAGATCGTAAAATTCTTTCTTCACTCCATGCTACCCAATTAATACCCTGTCAGAAACAATTCTCTTTCAATTTCTGAAGACCCCGGATAGTGTTTGTGGTAATTTCACTTAAGCTTGTAAATATAAGTGTGCTTGTACAATCGTCTAATCAGATTGATTCTGTTCTAAAATGAATAGTTTGAAAGTACTCATGCTGTCATTAGAGTGGATCTAAAAAGTATACACACCCCTGTTCAAATGCTCGGTGGAAGGAGAACAAAAATAATTTCCACTTTTAATAAGTCAGTATTTTAGAGAGGGGAAGTAAAAATAAACAACTGAGCCAGTATTGCAGAGGTGTGTGCAGACTGTTTTATAACTGAAGATTTGGCTGTTTTTCAAATTAATAAATCACATTCAAACTTGTGCTACATGGGAATAAACACACACACACCTGCCACTCATTAACCTGAGTTTGAATGTGTTTGGTTAACTTTGAACAGTTACACCCCCAATTTGAAGCGGATTCGCCCTTGCTCAACAGCTTTTACTTTCCCTGTCTAAACTATTCAATTTTTGTTAATCTATCCACCCAGACATCAAATGGTTTCTATCATTTTTTTCACGTTTCAATTTACATGGGAGCCTTGAATTACGAGTTCCGTTAGGACGACACAATTTGTACTTAAGAAAGCACGCATATTTCTCTCAGTAGACTATGCAAACTCGCAGTTCTAACGTCATAATTACAATAACTATATGTCGAAGAACACTTCTAACCCATAAATATAAAACAATCCAAAAAAAATCCTTTCCTTTACTCCAATGCTTGACTTGCACACTTGAATGTGAGCAAAATTGGTTCAGAACTACAAACCCTCAAACGCTGAGGACAACCGTATTATCATAATTGTAATCGCTTTCCAGGGACACATACCCAACAGGAAACTGAAACGTAGAGATTTGAGAAGTTCTTGGTAGGGAATAGGTTGGTGGATGGTGATGAAGACAGCATGTCAAGATGTAGCCTGCTCAGACCTGGGCTGGGCTTGGTCAAACGGAACTCTCTTGGCAGTCACCTTCCATAGCTCCTGAAATTGCAACATAATGATGATAGGAATCCATTCAACAAACTTGGAAATGGGCTGGGTCAAGTCAAAGAGATCGTAATATAACGCAGCAAGAGCAGTCAGGAAACTATTAGGGCCCCATTTAGCACAAAGCGCAGTCTAACTGTGGGCATTGTTTGTCATTTTTTTTCCTTTGGTAATTTGCTAGAATTTGTGCAGATGGAGTTGTGCATAACGGGACCATTGCGTGCCGTTGTGGGATGGGGGTAGCCTTTACCCGGCCAATCTTCGCGGGACCCAACCTTTGCATCAAGATCAGGGCGGTCGAAAGGCAGACTCGAGTACCCCCTGACCAATATTACGCGGAAAACCCCCCCAAAACAAACCTACCCAACTAAAACTCCACCGCCAGCTCACCGAATTGCAACACAGTGGTACCTCTACTTACAAACGTCTCTTCATACGAAATTTTCAAGTTACGAAACGCCTCAACAGGAAAATGTTGTCTTTATTATGCAAGAAATTTCAAGATACGAAATACAGTATGGTCTGCTACCCACAGCTCAGAGTTTCCTGAACGCAACATACTTATAGCTGCTCTACCATTGGCTTTTACTGAGCATCTTCCTGACATCCCATTGGCTAAGAGGGACCTCTACCAAATGTGTCTGTGTGTGTAGATATACCTGTATAAATAGATAGATATGTGTGTCCATGCAGTGTCCTCGTCATTCGCCCCTCGAGCCATGAGGCTTTCCGACGTAAATGTGAATCACCCAGAAAAGTGTTCACCAATCGGGCGATCGCTCACTGTGCTGATACAGTCAAACCTCGGTTTTCGACCATAATCCGTTCCAGAAGGCTGTTCGAAAACCGAAACCATGTTTTCCTTTAGAATCAATGTAAAAAAAATGTATCCGTTCCAAATCCAGAAAACTTTTTTAAAAGCATTTTTTTCAACTATTTTACAACATAAACTGTAAACACGTGTAATAAGAGAGCAGGTAACAACAAACTACAAACATTTTGTATGTTTTATTTTGACCAATTTTAACATAAACATTGACTTGTAACATAAAAATTGAACATCTCTCTGTCTTTGTGTCTCTGTCTCTGTCTCTCTCTCTCTCTCATCGTGACAATTGTAGATTGCATTCTTTTACACCTTGAATTTATAAACCCTAAAGTAATGGCTGTAACTATGGACGCTCTGTCTGCAATCCTACACTACTGTACGAGGTAACATCCCTCCATCCATTTCCTGAACCGCTTTATCCACACAAGTCCAGTCTCGTCCATATTAAAAGTTTGCTGGGGAAGACATTCTTCGGCCTTGAGGAGATTTTTACACTCAACTTGAAACTTTTCGGCAGCTTCCTTGTCTGAACTGGCTGCCTCCCCATGACGAATCACTTCTTTTGCTCAACTTTTGGAACCATCCTCTGCTTGCTTTAAAATCAAACTCTTCAGGAGAAATGTTAGGATACTTTTTTTTTAATCAAATCTCCATACAATTGTCTTGTTTTGCCACAAATCGTATCATGACTAAGACTGTCCCCTGCTAGCTGTTTCTCATTTCTGAAAGTAAACAAACGTTTCTCAACTTCCTCTAATATTTGTGACCTTTATTCACTAAACACAAGAGATCCTTTAGCCACATCACTGACTTTATGATGGTCTTTCTTTTTTAGGTCGCTGCTGATTTCGGCATGCCAAACTCCTTAGCCAACACAGACACATGCACACCTGATTCATACTTCACTATCAAATCTTTCTTAAATTCAATAGTTTTGCACACAATTTTCCTCTTTTTTCAGCAGCTTTACTACTTCCACTTGCTTTCTTTGGTGACATGCAGAAATAACAGTCCAAATTGCGTGGATCTCATCAAACACGTCTGCTTTTTTAAAAATCTTTATTGAATACATCTGCTCACAATTGACGCACAATGGACGCTGTTTTTTTTTTTTAATCTTTGAACACGTCTGCTCACAATGGACGCTCTTTTTTTTTTATCTTTGAACACGTCTGCTCATAACGGAGGCGTCACTTCTTCGTCAACCCGAGGAAGCGTCACTTCCTCGTGTAAGGAAGTCAGAGACGTTCGAAAACCGAGGTTTGACTGTATTTGCCTTGGACATTTTCGAAGGATTGTTAAAAGCCGACAAAAGCAAACATCCTTGGATCGGTTCTTTACAAAACACTACTTCTGAGAGACAACATGGACTAAAGAGGACAAAAAAAACAGTCAAAAGTTAAATGACCATCATTTTTATTCTTTACTCTATTCTTTGTTTTTACAACTCTCATTTATTATGCAATAATCTTATTGGAACATGTATTTGTTACATATGTTGATGCATTTTTCTGCTTTAGGAAACATTTATGTCTGAATTTTGGGGGAGATTGGAACGAATTAGGGCATTTACATGGAAAACGCATCTCAATTTACAACATTTTCTACTTAAGAAATTTCTTCCAGAACCAATTAATCTTGTAAGAAGAGGTACCAATGTATAACCACAATGGAAGGTACAGCTGATGCTGGTATCTGTCATACATTTTCATACATGGAAGGCGGACGAACCCCTTTATCCCTGCAGAATACCCCTTTAACGTGCACATTAATCTGACTATTATTGATCAGTTGATCAACCTGCACCTGACCGGGGGAATGGAGCAGGTGTGTTGGTCTGGTGCTGTAAATGTCCTCACACCCCCACTGCCTGCCCCCTGCACAATCGTGACGGGTGTGCTTTAAAAATATTTTTTGAGATGACAATTAGAATTAGTTCAAATGATTTCTGCAATGACTTAGAGGGGTCCTACGTTGGTGACATACAATAATTATGAATGAAATACAGACATACATCTCGGATTGCCGATTTGTCTGCCAACGATAATTAAATACACCAAAATCGCGTTACACTATCTGCGTTGCAAAACAGACCACCTTTTGGTCTACTTTTTGTCACCAAATTGCGAGACGCACTGTGGGGCGGAGCAGGAACGCCCAGTAAGGCGTAGCACGTCTACCAAATTCACAAACACACTGAACCAGACCATTGGCCCGGTACAAAAATGACGATGTGCCCGTTTTAATGTTGAGTGCAGACTACTTTTTGTCACTAAATTATCAGGTGTATCGTCGGCGAAGTTGCTTCCTGCGCCGGCCTACCCAGAAGAAAGCAACAAGGCTGTGGCAGCCGTGCGAACTAGCTCACTGTGATGGAAATAAGAGAAAATTCCCAAATTGGAAGAATTATGTTTAGAAAATATTGTCATTTCCAGGGTCTGATATTGAAATATTCGATTTAACTAGCACAATAGTGGTAAATTACTTATAAGGTAGAGGCCAAGTGTGTTTCTTACCAGATGATCAATGCGTTCGTACTGCAGAAACTGTGGGAACGTACAAGGGAGCTGTTCTACTGCGTAGCTGCACTGTCCATCCTCCACGTCCTCGAGCTGGGACAGGCAGTGTTGAAAATGATTGTAGGCGTCACAGGATACATCCATTTGTCGCAGGGTGAAGTTGAACCTTAAGAACACCAGATTACCACTTAGTCACTCTGCCTTCCATCGGTATTTATTCTTATAAAATAACAACCCGTGTTAATCCTTTCAGGGGCAGGTTACTAGAGTGGACAGCTTATCATAATATCGGGTTATGGGGTGCATGAAAGGGTTAAATTAACTTTGACAGGTCAATACACTCACAATGACATGTTTGGAAGGCTGCAAGAAAAAAATGTTGCCAAGCTTCAGACTGAAATGATTGTGCCTGAATTATCTGCAATGAATGAGGACCAAATATGGGCCCATCCTGTTTCAGTTCTGGTTTTTATGCACCAAATGTGAGCAAGTGTCCATACAGTCAAACCTCGGTTTTTGACCATAATCCATTCCAGAAGGCTGTTCAAAAACCGAATTGTTCGAAAACCGAAACCAAGTTTCCCATTAGAATCACTGTAAACATTTTTAATCCGTTCCAAGAAAACTATTTTACACCATAAACTGTATAAACATGTAATAAGAGCGCAGGTAACAACAAACTACAAACATTTTGTAAGTTTTATTTTTACCAATTTTAACATAAACATTGACATTGTAACATAAAAATTGAACATCTCTCTCTCCGTCTCTCTCTCTCATCGTGACAATTGTAGATTGCATTCTTTTACACCTTGAATTTATAAACCCTAAAGTAATGGCTATAAGTATGGACGCTCTGTCTGCAATCCTACACTACGGTACGAGGTAACATCCCTCCATCCATTTTCTGAACCGCTTTATGCACACAAGTCCAGTCTCGTCCATATTAAAAGTTTGCTGGGGAAGACATTCCTCGGCCTTGATGAGATTTTCAAACTCAACTTTAAACTTTTCGGCAGGTTCCTTGTCTTAACTGGCTGCCTCCCCGTGACGAATTACTTCTTTTCCTCAACTTTTTGAACCATCCTCTGCTGACTTTAAAATCAAACTCTTCAGGAGCAATGCTAGGATCCTTTTTTTTTTTTTAATCAAATCTCCATACAATTGTCTTGTTTTGCCACAAATCGTATCTTGGCTAAGACTGTCCCCTGCTAGCTGTTCCTCATTTATGAAAATAAGCAAACGTTTCTCCACTTCCTCTAATATTTGTGGCCTTTGTTCACTAAACACACGAGATCCTTTAGCCACATCACTGACTTTATGATGGTCTTTCTTTTTTAGGTCGCTGCTGATTTCGCCGAACTCCTTAGCCAACAAAGACACATGCACACCAGATTCATATTTCACGATGAAATCTTTCTTAAATTCAATAGTTTTGCGCACTATTTTCCTCTTTTTTCAGCAGCTTTACTACTTCCACTTGCTTTCTTCGGTGCCATGCAGAAATAACAGTCCAATTTGCGTGGATCTCAACAAACATGTATGCTTTTTAAAAAATCTTTATTGAACACGTCTGCTCACAATTGACGCTCTTTTTTTTTTTAAATCTTTGAACACGTCTGCTCACAACAGACGCACAATGAACGCTCTTTTCAAAAAATCTTTGAACATGTCTGCTCACAATGGACGCTCTTTCTTTTTTAAAAAACATCTTTATTGAACACGTCTGCTCACAACAGACGTGTCACTTCTTCGTCAACCCGAGGAAGCGTCACTTCCTCGTGTAAGGAAGTCGAGAGAAGTCGAGTGGCGCATTCAAGTGCGCTCAGTTTGGTCGAGAACCGAATTTCGGGCGTAATCAGAGGCATAAAAAACTCGAAATTTTTGTTCGAAAACCGATTTGGTCGAGAACAGAGACGTTCGAAAACCGAGGTTTGACTGTATTTACCAGAGTGATGTGTGAACCTTTAAATCACAGGTGTCAAAATCAAGGCCTGGGGGTCAGATCCAGCCCGCCACATCATTTTATGTGGTCCGCGAAAGCAAATTAAGTCTGTCAACTTCCATGATCGTTGCTAAAATCTGAAAATTGGGGCGGCTGGATAGCTCAGTTGGTAAGGCACCGGTTTGGCGTACGGGAGACGGGGGTTCGAATCCCGCTTGGGGCAAAAAATCAGCACATAACACCATCCAGTGTGCGTCCCTGGGCAAGATCCTTCACGCTAATGCCTACCTCATACAATGGTGAGAGACAATAAATCGAATGACCGGCCCAGACGTCGCTCGGCCAAACAAGGTCTGCGTCAGGTGCTGGGGAACCAGAGCACCTCGACGAAAAATGGGCTACTGGAACAAAGCGGAGTGGGCGAGATGCGATAAAATGGCTCTGTTGGAATGCTACTACTCAAGCAACCCTAGTCAGAGGGGTTACATGCAGAGAATGCGGGCTGAATGGTTACTTCACAGTCACGGTTGACCACGAAACAACTAGTAGCTCAGTGTTCCAACATCCACAAACGGCAATTGCTGACACAACTTGAGATTGACGAGGTACAACGCAGGGTCCACGGTGAACGGCCCCAGGCTGCCAGATCAGAGGAGGAGGTCATACCAGAGATTGATGATGAGATTGGGAGGCCAGTCCCAATGAATGAAATGCTGAGCGAGGCAGCAACTGACCTGAAAGCTAAGATCATGGCGAGAATGAAAGCTGGGCAACCTAGAAACCGATTACGACGGCAATGTGAAGTACCACCTGAAAGTCTCATGGAAAGTGTGAATGCAGCACTGAGGGCGATCCCAACCATAACGATCACGGAAACCAATGAGCTGATATACGCTTCAGCATCAGTGATCC